TTAATAGAGATAATTGGAGAGGTTTTATATTAGAGAGACTAAGAATAGTAGGTTGAGTAATTTTATAAAAGTGAGAGATAAAATTTGTATGAAATTGATTGCATAAACATGTGCCAATAGTCAGTTGAGTGGAAACTTTAAAATAATGTTGTTTTTTCTTAAGACTTTTATATTGATTAGGATTAACATCTGGTAAAAGAATACAGAGTGATTTGGAAGTTTTCTCATTTATACCAAGTCTATGATAGGCTCTGTATTTAGAGTAATAATAATCTATATCATAGGAGTCTGGTTCAGTTGTTATAAGAGTAGGCATTTTTAAGATAGTTTGTTAGGTAAAAGTTGTAAATATATAATTTTACAAGGGTAGTAGGCAAGTACAGGAGTTTAAGTATATGATATATCTTAATATAGGTTTGTATAATTTTTTAATAAGATATTATAAAATTATAATTTATAATAAACTAGAATAGTAGGTGTAACTAAATATTAGTCACCAATTTAATGTAATATTAGCACAGCCTACAATTTTTGTATAAAATTAATTAGAATCAAATATGAAAAAGAGTAGATTGTGTGTTAAATAAGGTTTTATTTAAGGATATATTAGTAAATTTAGTATAAATTTAATTAAATATAAATTAAAAAGTAATCTGATATTATATGAATAATGTGTAAGGATGAGCAGACCAAGGTAGAAATAAAAAGTAAAAAAAGAATTTTTATAAAAGAATAAAAATTAAATTTGACTGTAATTTAGTCAATATTTGGTCAAAAATCTTTATTTAGATCTTGTTTTAACCAGAAATGTGTATTCTACACTTTTACTTAAGAGTGTAAAATAAGTTGTAACAATAAGTTTTATGTAATAATTGAAATTGTAAATTCTGAAGGCCAAAGGATGTTAGTATGTTTTTTTAACGAGTTTAAATTTTAAAGACTTAAAACTTTCAGGATAAATATAAAAATGTAGTACTGAACAAGTTTACTTAAGAGCCAAAAGCAAGTTAATTTAATAATATAAATAATTATAAATGTTTTTGTATAGATGAATTTTTAGTTAAGATTTGTGTAAAGGATTTGCAGAAAGAGTCTCTCAAGTTGAAACCTGATATATTATTATAATAACAATATAAAGTATTGTATATATATGAAACAGTATTGAAAATCAAAAAATTTAAATAAAAAACCCAGAGACAAGTTTCAAATATAACATTTAGTAAGTAATTTATAGATGAAACTCTTGATTAAATAATGACTAAAGTTATATATATTACTAGTTGTACTTTTATTGATAGACTATTGTATATAAAAAATATAATCATATATAACTAATAAAAGATATACAGACAAGATTGCTACTTCAAACTAAAAAAAAAAATTTTTTTAGTAAATAGAAATATGCATCATATTTATACTAGATCCAAATTAGAGATTAGTCATATAAGAAATTAGTAATTCAAAATAAAAATTTATCTTTATATTAACATATAATAACTTTATATTTTTATTTACTATTACAGTTATTAGTGTTAAGTAAAAGAGTAAATAACAAAAAATGAAAACTAAACATGACAAAAGATGAAAAATAAAATTTTATAATAAAACTGATGAAGTCTGATAAAATTGATAAAATCTAATAAAATTGATAAAACTTGATGAAATTGGCAAAACTTAACAAAACTGATAAAATTTGGTAAAACTAGCAAAACTTCTAATAAAAGACAAAACCTCAAACTCAGTAAAGATCAAATCCTCTAATACTTTAAAAAAGATTAAGCCATATAATGCTATAATATTATAATTCAATAATTCTATAACCAACTATAACTTTAATCCTATATTTACACACAACATATATAATTATATTAAAAATATTTGTCATATATAATGTTTATTATCAACAATTAAATTTTACTAGTATGAATAAATAACTAAAGCTAAAAAGTATTAGAAAATAATTTTTAATCATAATAATGTTAATAAACTACTTAAATATATATGGTATTTAATGTTTTTTAATAAAATATTAAATAGAAAAAACAAAAATTTAAAAATAAATTTATTTAAAATTTAAATTAAATTTTTATATTTATTTATATAAAAAATTTTAATATATAAATAAGTGATTCTAAAAGAAAATATTTAAACTTTGAATTTCAAGATCAAGTATATTTAATTATAAATTATAAATCCTGTATACTAGCTTTTCTTTAATAGTAATTGAATACAAACCAATAGTTATTGTTTTGTTTATTACTTTGTGCATTTTTTGTAATCTATACACAAATTATTTTCATTAAAAATTTGAATTCTAATTTTCTTTTAATATTATTTGAATACAAACAAAAAGCTATTGCTTTGTTTATATAAGCCACTTCATATTGCCATATTACTATATTGTCAGAATGTTAGAATGCTATAATGCTGTAATAAAGTAATTTTTTAATGTGTGCCATGTTTGTGGCATAGCAAAAATTCTTAATTACTATATGTAGCTGTAGCAATAATAGTTAAATCACTAGTCAAAAAAATTTTGCTACATATTGTAGGACTTGAATGGACTCTGGTCAGTTAGAGTCCATTACAAAATTCAGAAAAAGGGGTTGATCACATTTGTCGCATCCATCACATCTGTTGCATGTTACTAATCAGTCACATCAGTCACATATAATAGATACAACTGATAGCAGTATTGATAGAAGGGTTCTTTAAGTAATATCAGTCATATGTATTATGAAATGTAAATAAGTAAACAATTATAAATAAAGACCAAAAGGCCTTTCGGGAAGAACAACAATTCCCAACCTTGACAAATAAAATAATATATTTGCTAATATATAATCTATATCTAACTTGTAATCATTAACTTCCATCAGTACACTTTTCTAATAATCAACCCAAAACTCCTCTTCATTAAGTAAATCTGATTAAAATACCATTAACTATTCACCAAATCTAACATGCCACTTTTGACCAATATTAACCCTAAGTGGTTTTACAAAGTACATGATTTTAGAGCCATCGATCTGACAATCTTTTATGTTCATAATGTGTAGTGCAAAAAATTGTAAAAAAAATTTCCAATAAGATTACATAGTTGTTCCATTAGATCTTTAATTTTATTAGCTAGCAGGCATAAATCTGCAAAATTTTAACCCACATTACATAACTGTTTACTAATTTCTAACCAGAATTAAGTTTTTTAAATTTTTATTCTTAATATAGAAATTTTTAAAAAAATAAATCTACAAAATGGTAAAATTAAATCAAAAACAATTTTTATTTAATGAGTAACTATGATTTCATTAGTAAAATTTTGAGTAATTTTAACCAAATTTTTTTATCATCGCTCTTAGCCAATAAATCAAAAATCTGCCAGATACAAGCAAAAATTAAACACTTTTAATCAAATACTTAGATTGAATTATCTTAAGTATTCTATCTATATTTGATGTGAAAAAGAAAGTTCTATATGTAAATTTTAATGCTAAACATTTTTAATTAGAAGTTAGAAGTTAATTAGCATAATAAAATTTGGCTCTATTTAAGAATTTATTATTTTGCTATTTTTGCTATTTATTTTGTTATACTAGATCTTATGATTTTATTGGTACCAGACCAGAAATTTTAAGGGTATAGTGTAATACATTATTAATATAAATAGCAAATTATTTTGTAGTACAAAAATTAGTCAATTTATAAACAAGTTATAATAATATTATTTAAAAAATTTAATTAAATTACTAATAATAATACAAAAATTTATTTTAAATCTTTTGTAAAATATAAAACAAGAAGGTTCTAATATATAATTTACATTTTTTGATATTATAAAATTTGTGAGGAGTTGTTAATTTTTACAAGGAGATCTACATAAATAATCAATATTCTAGAAAATTCTTAGACTATTATATCGATTATATTATTTTTTATAACACAATTTTGGCTTTATTTTAATTTTACAATGTGATTTTGCTTTTACAACGCGATTTTGCTTTTATATTATTTTTACAATGCAATTTTGTCTTTATATTACTTTTTTAACACAATTTTGCCTTTATATTATTTTTACAATATGATTTTGCCTTTATATTACTTTTACAATATAATTAAGGATTCAATTTATTATTATACTGAATAAATCTTTTATCAAAACTATTTTTTTAATAATGTGATTAATAATGAGCAAATAGTATAAAATTTTGGTTCAGCAAGAACCACAAATCTGATTAGCAATTAAACGAAAAAACAATTCATGGCTTGTAAGAGAAATATGCAAGTTAGTAGTTTTAGAAAGACATAAAGAATTAGTATCTTTTTCTTCTAAACAAGTTACTATATTAAATTTAGTAGCTAGATATTATGTAAATAGTGATACTAATATTATTGATAATTGGGTTCTTTTATTGCCTGGCTATACAATATATACAAAGTCAATAGAATATAGGTGAAATTATCTATCAAATTAGATAGTTTTAATATACTATACTTTTATTAAATAGTATATGAAAATAAATTATTTCAGAAATAGATTAATCAAGAAACTGATTATTCTTTTTTTAAAACATTTATTTGCAAATATAAAGAAAAAGGTTATCTAACTCTTTCTTGGCTATTAAGATTTTCTTGCAAAAATATTAAATATTTACAGGCAATAGTTTATGAAAAATATCCTAATTTATTTTCTGATTTTAATAAAATTATACATACTTTCAAAAAAAGAAAATACTATAATAAGAGCATTAGAAAGAAAAAGTAGAAAAATTGAGTATGATTTAAAATATAAACCAAACCAACTATATAACAGTATTATTTCTAATCTTTAAAAAAAAATACTTTCATCTCAAATGACCCAAGCACTTTGGATAAAACATAATGAAGCTCTTGCTAAATTATATAATAAAAATTAAGCTTATTTGTGTTTACAAAAATCTGCAAATGAATCATACAAGAAGTTAAAAATAAGCTATATTAATCAAAGCTTAGAAATCAATTAAATGATAGAAAATAAAGTTTCAAACTTACAACTTGGTTCAACAATATTAGTTGATACATGGGAGTATTTGCAGCTTATATTTTCACAACCTTGCTATGAATGTAGTGAAAATATTTTAGAAAATAAAAAATTTAAATTTCAATCAGCCAGATTCATAATTAAAAGTGTAATAAAATGTATTATATGCCAACATAAAAATAATTATTCAAATAAAAGTTCAAATATTAACTTTTCAAGTACTATGGCTGCTGCTGGTTTAGCTACTAGAATTACATACTGAGCTTTACAAAATACTTTAGTATCAATAGAAATTACTATGCAGTTTTGCAAAAAAACTTATTATACACATCAAAAACAACTATTTTCTCTAATTATCAAAGCTTCTAAAACCTCAACTTCAAAAGCATTAATTCAAAGCATTAATTACTTACTTAATTCAATGTTATTATTACAAACTTTTATTGAATTTATTGTTTCATTTGATGTATCTTGGTTATATTGTTATAATGCTAGTTAGGCTAGTAAAGAATTTATTTTGCAAATGCAAATTCTTGGTATGATTTTAAATTAATATAATAAATAATATAATAATAAAAATTTTAATTTTTAAATAAAAAGATTATAATCATTATCTGATTATAGTGTATTATACCATATAAAAATTATGAAATATAACTAATCAAAAAAATGAAAGTATAAAAACCTTATTTAAAAGAAATTTTAATGCAAGTTCTTAACAAATAGAATATGCAATACTACTTAATTTATTGGACTAAATAACTTTTATATTAGAAGAACATAATTTTTTTTAGGAGTTTGTTTGGATGACGATCTAAATTCCAATAAAACTCTTAGTTATATATTTATTGTAAGTTGAATATATGCAGATCTAAAGCATGTAAGTAAAAATATATATAAAAATTTATATAAGTAAAATAAATATTATATAAAAATTAAATAATAAAATTTAATTAATTTAAATCACATATAGTAAATAAGACCAATACAAACTTCTATGAATATGAATAACATATTATGTATTGGTTTAATGGTTGTGTTTATACTACTGGTTTATGCAAAGAATTAGATAAAACTAATGCTTCTAATAATTAAGAATTATGAGAACAACAAGTAGAAGGTTTAATTTGATATTTAAAAAATTAACATGATCAGTGTTGACCTAAATTGTACTGGTATAAAGATGATCCAAGTATTTCTTTAAAAAAACTGACCTTAATTAATGCATCAGAATACCATATTCAAAATTTTAAAAATATGTTGAATTTTATTTTTTATTTTTCTAAAGAACAAAGTTTAATTACTACTGCACATATCTCTTTGAATAAGGAATTTAATAGATGTAAATTAATCTTTCTTGATAAAAAAATTAATTACTGAACATCTTATAAAATGTGTCACTCACTTACAATATTAAATTATAATGAAGATTATCTTAGTATAATTGCAGAACTTTACAAATAGCCTGTAATAAGGAATTTACAGAACAAGAATTTTTTAATATTGTGAATTTTGAATTAGAATATAATATCCAAAGAGAATTTAATAAAAACAAAATACGTAAAAAAAATAATGCTTATACTCAGAAATATGCTAATGACTATGTTGAATTACTTGGATTTGACTTTAGTAAGATAAAAAAATAATTCTGTATATAATAAATATTTTAAATTAATATACAAATTATATAATTAAATTTAGGAATTAATTCCATATAAATATAAAGGAGAAGAATGAATATGAACAAATAGTTTTTATGCATTATTTGCCTCACAAATAAAGAATTTCAACACTATAAATATATGTTTAGAATGCTATACTTTTCCAAAAAAAACTTCTTATAGCTTATGTAGACTGTATAATTTTTACTGAAACATAAACAAAAATGGATGTTTATTAAATCCTATACCTATTAAAAATATACCTTAACCTTTTTTAATAACAGGTGAGATTATTTATTATACAAAAACAGTATTTAGTTTTAATTAGTTATGAGAAGGACAATATTAAGCTATAACTGAATTTTGTAAAAATTAAAAAGATACTTTAATGCTTTTAAAAACAGAAGGCAGAAAATCTTTATGTTTCAGAATATCAGTAATTCTTTTTAAAGGATTGATAGTTGTAATATGTCTATTTATTGCTTTAATACAAAATTATGTAGTAAGAAATAATAATATATATATAAATGTAATTAATACAAATCTAACTATTTCTATAATTAAGACAAAATTCTTAGTAGCTGGAATATTTTGTGCTGGATTATATACATCTATTGAGTCTACAATTAATCTTGAAGAAAAAATATTCAAAGAAATTGCAATAGGTTGGACCTAATTACTTTTTATTACTCCTAAAAAATTCCTTATAAACTAACGTTTTCAAATATTCTTGAATCAGTTAAATCAAGAAAACAAGTTGTGTATTATTATAGATGAAGTACATTGCATATTTGACTATAAATATTTTAGATAATAATAATATTAGATTTTATTATTTAATAGTTAAATTCAATAAATATTATAGAACTTTATATTTATAGAGATACTTGGAGTAAGTTACATCTTTTAAAAAAAAAGATATCCAACTATACCTATACTTGCAATAACAGCTACTCTTGTATACAAAGATATTATCTTATTATATGATTGACTGCAATTTAATTCTAATAATATAGTTATTATTTGAGATGAAACTCTTATAAGAAATGAACTATTATATGAAGTGCTAAAAAAAAAAAACATGATAATAGTGTTAAGAATAATCTTATTACTTTTATAAACCAAATAACTGAAGAAAGAATAATTATATATTGTACAAATAAACAACAATGTAATTAAGTAATAGAAATGCTAATAGGATCTTTAAATTATAAAATTATAGATATATTTTATAGAAAAATGATGGAAATAGAAAAAAGTAAGGTAATAAAAAAGTAGCTTTCTGGTAAAACAAAAATAATAATTACAACTTTTGCATTTAGAATGGAAATAGATGTCAATGATGTTTGATTAGTAATACATTATACTATGACAATGAATATGTGTTAGTGTTATACAAAAATTGAATTCAGTTATTAAATAGAATTTTTATTAATTTTCTACTTATACTTATAAAGCTAACTTTATTTAGCAATCTGAACATGTTGGTAGAGATAGTGAAGTTTTAAAAATTATAATATTATATTCTGAGAATGATGTGTGAACCTTTTACTTAATACTTTCAAGAGATAAAAAAATATAAGTATATAAATAATTAGTTACAATTTTATTATTTATAATGCTAATACCAAACTTACAACAATAACGATTTTGCTGAAAATGTACAAAAAATTGATCAATATTTGATGTCAGGACAGAAAAAATTTTTTGAAAGGATGTTGTTTTGTATAAATACATTCTAATGTCATTTACAAATAGTTACTCAAACATATGCATGGTCAGGTGAACCAATACCAATAATATGTAAAAGATGTAATAATTGTTTAAGACATTCTCAAGATAAACTGGAACTGCAAAATGTCTTTAATGAAATTAAGGAGATATTGGATATTGTAGAAATGTTATGTGCAAACTTTACAAAAGAAATACAACCAACTGATGTAGTAGATGTATTTCATCATAATCAAAATGCAAGTGTCCAAAAGGAAGGGTTTAATGAACTTCTATTTTACACAGATCCTATAAAATCAAGCAAACCAAAAATACTGAAAAATAGCGATTTAACCACACTGGCACTTACTGACTTAGTGGTTCATGGTTTGGTAACCCAAAAAATTGGATTACAGTTAGGAATGGACTCGGTCAGCTACGGTCGGTTATCGGTCGGCTATTACCGGTTAGCCGCTCATAGCCGGCTAGCCGCGGCTATAGCCGATCAATTATTTAATTTCTTCATCAAATATCGATCTTTAATTAAGTGACAACCAAACCAGTTGTATGTTGGTTTAGTAGTGGGTCTGCATCATCTGATAAATAGAAAACCCGTTAGTTATAATTTGGGCCAAATTTGCAGATCATTTGGCCAGATCTAAAACAAAACAATTTCAAATCTGGTCAAATGATCTGCAAATTTGACTAAAATTATAATTAATGGGTTTTCTATATCAGATCCGTCAATACGTTAACCACTACTAGGGATGTATTACATAAATTACTTTGTTACATTTCATGTAAATTACATTATATGATAATTTTACTAACATTATGAAATTTAGCCAGCACATATATTTGGGAATTGTAGTTTTTATGCGAGATTCATAAGTCAAATTTGGTAAAAATTTTTAATAAGAATATTAGTTATTTTATTTTATTCATCTGTCTTTTATACTAATTTTATTTATAAGTTACATATGCTAGATATTTCTGTTGTCTAATAATACTTTTATTTTATTATATAAAAGCTAGAGATTGAAATTATTAAAAATTATTTTGGTAATTAATCACGATATTAATCATAATATTTATTTACAGTTATTCTCTCTTATAATTAAACAGTTAGATATACAGTATACTAATTAGGTTGTAATAAAGGGATGTGATTGCATAACATATCTTAAAATTACTTTTA